CTGAAGCCCCGGGGCCTCGGGCCCCTCCCGCGCGCCTGCCCAGGGCCGGGCCTTCCTGACCTCTGGGTCACTTCTAACCAGCGTCCAGCGGCTGGCACACGTCTGTGTGAAATGAGTCAAACCCAGTGGCTTCTGTAAATTCTTCTTTTTCTTGAACTCTGGGCCCTGCTGATCACCTTTTTTTTGGGGGGGGAGGCTCCCCTCCTTTTCCTTGATAGGTACACAGGCTTCTCTGCCTCCTTGGCTGGCCACGTCTGCCCTGGGTGTCCCCCTGCCCCTGTCCCCTCCCTGTGCCCACTGCCCTTCCCTTTCCGCTCCCTTATTTCCTCAGCCAGGTCCTGTGCATGTCCATTCTGATGCCTCCTTTTTGACAGCTGACTTCACATCCACACGGTCTGTCCTCCTGCCCCTTCATCGGCCTCCCCGGCTCCCTGTGCTGTGGTCCCTCCCGGTGGCTGTCCAGCGGCCGGCTCAGTGTCAGTCCAGGGCCACCTCTCTTCCCCAAAGCCAGCTCCTTTTTTTAATATGTCTTTATTGATTTCAGAGAGAGGAAAGGAGAGGGAGAGAGAGAGATAGAAACATCAATGATGAGAGAGTCATTGATCAGCTGCAGCCCACAACCCGGGCATGTGCCCTGACCGGGAATCGAACCCTGATTGCCTGGATCCTAGGTCGACGCTTAACCGCTGAGCCACGCCCGGCCGGCACCAGCTCCTTCTTGATCCCCACTGCATCAGAGATACCACCCTCTCCCCAGTTACTCCACCCACAAAACTCCCTCTCTTTTTTGGCTTCTCCTCGTACTTTGCTCCCCAGATCCAGCCCCAAGACGTGTTGCTTCTTCATATCTAGATAATTGCAGTGGAATCTTTCCATTCGCCCTTCCCACGGTGAGCAGAGTCCCGCATTCACTTCCTCTTCTTTTGCCGAGGTCATCTGAGATACCTCTCTCCCCCATCTATCTATTGCATTATGTCTGGACTCCTTTGCCTAATAGTTAAGATCTTTCATAATCTGGCTTCATCTGCCTTTTTAGGCTTCTGTCACTTTGTACCCCAGGGTCACTCTCCTTACTGTTCTCTAAGCATCACACCAGCTTTGCACCCCTGAACCCTCACCATTCTGCCCATGGTCCCCACCGCTGCCCTGTAACAGGCCCCCAATCCATGCATGCCTGAATGTGCCTGGCCCTGCGGTACTGTAGCTCCTGTCATAATCTCTTAGCTCCCTCCCTGCCTCCTTCCCACTTCTCCCGATCCTCCACACTCCTGAAGGCATAGCTTAAGCTTGGTCTTCCACCTTGAAAACCTGCCCTGCCCATTTTTCCACTACAGAATTAACGTTAGCTGTACTTGTCAGTGATCTTTTAAGAAGTTGACATCTATCTCATCTCCACAGTTTGCAAGCTGCTTGAAAACAGGTTACTATGCTCATATATCCTACATTTCCAGGACAATTCAGGTTTCAAATACTCTGCTCCACTGCTTCACACACTCATCAAAATGCCCTAGAATTCTCGTATTTGGCATTGAACACATCTCCTAGCTGGCCTCTTCACTGGCTCCTTCCCAAACCTAGGTCAGGCCATAAAGATGCTCATTTCTGCTTGTTGAGGGGAATTGGAAACAAGATGACCTAGAGAGCATCAAACCAAAGAGCCCCGGTGTCAGCAAGACCAGAATTGAAATAAAATCAAACACCAAGGAAGTCGGGAAAACAAGAAAAGGTATAGCCAGGTGTACAGTATCATTCAGCACCTAAATACTGAAAACACTTAAATCTTCCTGGGTGTGCGGTTGACAGGGATCTGGTATCTAGGTCTTGCTTTAGTCCAGAATTGATGAAAAAAATATTTTGACAGGACTTCACTTGTTTGTGTGTTTTGTTTGTTTGTTTGTGGGGTTTTGCCTCAGGAGATAGAACTGTGTCCTTATGTAGATTTTTATATCATGTACCAAGTCACACAGCTGGTTCTCAAAAAGCCAGGACTGGGACCATATCTGCTGACTTCAAATTAGACCATGGAGCTCCTGTGCTATTGTTACCATGGCCCATGGCCCCATGTGGTTCTACAGAGCTGGTATTCCAGAGGATGATGCAATGAACTGGGGGGAGATAGTGTGCATTTTGGAGACAGGAGCAGGAGGCCTTATCCCTCCCCTTGCCTTTCCCTCTACTCCCAGTCAGGAGCAATGAGAGCATTGTATGTTACCCTCGTCTTTCCCAGCATCCTGTTGGGTCTGCAGGACCTTGGCTTGATTGCCAAGGTTACCTCCCACTCTCCTGACCATGTGTAGAAACCTGATGTTGAGTGAAGCCCAAGTGCAGGCAGAGGCTGAGTGGAGATATTCTAGGAGGATGACATCAGCTCACTCCAACACTGCACAGTGTGTAATTTTTGAAGGTCTGTGTATGTGTGTGTGTGAGAGAGAGATAGAGCAGTAGATATATATTTGAGTGAGTGTACATACTTAAATGTGTGTATGTGTGCTCTGATGTTTGTGGATAGGAGGGATTGTGGATATGTGTTTGCAGAAGTTAACATGCACTAGAACATATATATATTATTTTTAAATATATTTTTTGTTAAATTGATTTTTAGAGAAAGAGGAGGGGAGAGGCATAGAGACATAGAAACATTGATGAGAGAGAAACATCATCAGTGGGCCGCCTCCTGCACTCCCCCTCCTGGGGACTGAGCCTGAAACCTGAGCATGTGCCCTGACCGGGAGCCGAACTGTGACCGCTGGGTTCCTGGGTAGACAACACTGAGCCACACCTGGCCGGGTGCCCTGTTATATACTGAAGAACATCACTGTCAAGTGTGGTATTTTGATAGGTGTGTATTTTGGCAGGGAGAGTACATTTTGCCCGAGTGTAGATGCTAATGTGACCTTTCTTCTTTTCAGACCTCATTGGTGACAGCCTTGCTGGGCTGCCCAGAGCTGATAAGAAGCATCGCCCAGGGAGCACCAGGCATCTCTTCCTACCTTCCGAATTGGGGTGGAAAGACTGCTGAATGTACTCTAACCCTTTGCAAGCATTGTTGGGCAATGTCCAGAGCATCTTTTAGGCTTCCCTATCATCTCTGCACAAAATTGTACTTTTCAAGATTGGCTGTAGGACAAGCAGTCTGGGAGTTATTCTTTGGAATGAGGAACAGGGATCCAAGACAGAAGACAATGACATTGTCCCTAAAATCTGTTAATGAAGAGTGTAAGGGATATTAGCTATATTACAAATCTCTGTCTTTAAGCCCCTCGCCCCACTCCAAAGTGAACTGAAACGGGGACAGCAATAGATAATGCAAAGATGATTGGGGGTGAGGGACGTGGAAAACCATACATCTGGACTAAAGGAAGGGTTGGTAAAATATAAATAGGCAGAGGGCTTTCAATAATTTTTAAGTCCCAAAGAACCAGTTCTGAGAAACCGTCAAGGGCTGGAGAACAGTCTGAAAGCTAAAAAGTAATCCATCCCTTCAGTTGCTCTGAAGATAGAAGCAAAAAGTAGATTCAGTTATACAAAAAGCACCTAAGCAGCAGAACTTCCTGATAGGAAAGTGAGCATCTGGAATGTGCTAAACACACCACCTGCTCCGGCCAGGCCTAAGACTCTCCGAGGTGCAGGGCATCTTTACATGGGAATGAACATGGCCAGAGAGGGGTTGGGGTGAAGGCTGCAGGCTCCTCCCCAAGGTGCATCTAGCCTGGAGAGCAGCAGAACCTCAGTGGCTGCTTACACAATTTCCAGGTCATGAGCAGAAATAGCTGTGACAGATGCAGGCTCCATTTGCTCCCACCTACATGGAAGGCCATCAAATATCCAGTGGCTAAAAAAATCAGGGCCTAGGCCCTGGTTTTACCCACAGGCAAGCTTAGGAACCTGGGAGGATCCTAGTTCTCCATGGCACAGCCACTGGATTTCTTCTCAAGTTGCTCAACTCTCTCCTGAACCTCATCTGTGTGGCTCCAATGTCACAAATTGGAAGCCTGTGAGGCAGAGTTGACTCAATCACAGATATAGATTGTTTGTTTGAGCTGGATAGTGTTTAAACATTTTAAAAATTAGTTGTCAGTGCTTATGAAATGTCATATTTTAAAAATGTAGAATTATGATTTTAAAAACCAGAATATCTATTAACACGGGTCCCGTATGTCTGCCTAGCAATGACTGGCACCTAAGACAGGAGTATGTCCTC